CAGCAGCAGCAGCAGCAGTAGTACTATTAGTAGTAGTAGTAGTAGTAGTAGTCGTAGTCGTAGTCGTAGTAGTAGTAGTAGTAGTAGTAGTAGTAGCAGTAGTAGTAGTACTTTAGTACTAGTACTAGTACTAGTGCTAGTACTAGTACTAGTACTAGTACTAGTACTAGTACTAGTACTAGTACTAGTAGCAGCAGCAGGACTAGCAGCAGTAGTATTGGTAGTAGTAGTAGTAGTAGTAGTAGTAGTAGCAGCAGTAGTAGTAGTAGTAGTAGTAGTAGTAGTGGTAGTCGTAGTATTGTTTCATCAGTAGCGGCAGGGCTAGGGGTGTTCGTCGTCGTAGTCGTAGTCGTACTTATGTGTAGTCTCATTTTGAGTCGTAGCCGTCACTCCTTTCAGGTTTTTTTGAACGAGTCACCCTTTAAACTTCAGCTTTTGCAAAATCAGTTCACTCACTCCGGAGTTTGGGGTTATTGTTGTGAGGAGCCAGTCGCACCCTTTTTGGCCTTTGGGTTTCTGGCAAGCATTCACTTCCTTTTGAGAGCTTTGGGCTTCTGCAAACGAATCACTCCTTTTGATAATTTGGATTGTGTGCAACTTGAGTTGTAGCCGAATCGCACCAAGAAACATGGCGAGTTCATGGCGCACATCCGAAAAGCTATGTCTTGCCATCTCTCCAACACGAGGGCAACTTTCCTGCAAAATGCCTACATGGGGTGCCCCACAGCAACAAGACGACCTTATCAAGCACTGTCACTACGAAGTTTTCCAAATGTTGTTTATGCTGGCCGCCAACAAGCTGGTACCCTCGGAAGGAGGGCTTTTTACCGTCGTAGTTGTCGCAGTAGTTGTGGTCGTCGTAGCAGAAGTAGTAGTCGTCGTCGTAGCAAGAGATGCAAGAGTAGCACGAGAAAAAGCAAGAGGCATTGCGGCTGTGGTTCGGGTTGAGTTGTTGGTGGTGAGCATTCACCAGCCACCATAGCCTTTACAGTCAGGGCTCTTAAAATGCCGTCGCCGAAATAGTCTCATAGTCACAGCAACAGTGCAGACATAGTGGCAGCAGTAGCAGCTGACATGCTGCCCCGTCAAACAAGGAACGCATCCTCTGTAAGCTAGAGTGAGCATCTGCCTCGAAAATCCAGTCCTAATCGATGAGGCACTCTATGCCCTTACATTGCAATAGACACGTGGCTTGCAAGGTCGAGCTGGTGGTGTCCCTGGGCACTGATGAGTATAGCGATGTTTTTCATTGTTTTCTATTGTTTTTTCCTGCGAATTCTACGCTCTCGGCAAGCTCCCAAGCAGCTCAAGGATCAATACTGGCCTTGTGTTGGCCGACTACACGATTGGCTTGCCTGGGCCCTTGCAGGGTACGGTGTGCAGATTCCTTCTGAAAGGCTCTGGGCAGCCTTGGGTGAAATGGGTAGGGTTCTTAGACTCGAGATCTCTTGGCGTAAGCGCCGGTTCTAGTTAACACCCGAAAGAAGAAGTAGTGAAGATTTGATCTCTGTACAACAATTCAAACTTCCTTTGTAAGCCATGTCTCTGAGACTCCACAACCTTTACTGTATCACGTACGAGCAGGGCTCCGAGTGCAGCGTTTTGCGAAGGGCACTTCGGGTTAAACCTCACTGCAGCTGGTTCTCGATTTCTATTTTCGGGATTTGAGGTTGACCTGGCGCCGTTTTCTGAATCCTCAGTCTATTGGCTGTTGGCCTCAGCTTATCTTAGTCATTACGCATGTCCGATAGGACGCACGGCAACGTGGGTTGGGGATTGAGGCGTCGGTGCTGAGAACCTGACATGTGTCGGGACGTGTCTGGTGTCCAGATACGTAGAGCTCGCGGTTGTAGTGATGGCATGTTGGTCTTTTCGGGTTCGTGTTGCTAGAGTGTTGGGATGCCGCAGCTGAGCTGAAGGTTCGGGCAATGATGAATTGAGGGCATTCGAACGTTCGTTCAGTCGGCTGTAGTGCTTGTGATGCAGAGTGACGTGGTAGGATTCGGAGGTACATGCATTGCACGAGGGCTTCCCAGGTCCGCCTAGTGATTGCCTGTGCCAACACTCTGATCGCAGGAGCTTCAACCGCCCTGGGCCCTTAAGATTGCGGTCGTTGCAAGGAGCAAGTTTCTGATATCAGCGAACATGCAGAAATCTAGTCTAGGGTTGGACTTGTCGGGTCCAGACTCGGGGTTGGCAGCCTTGTTCTGCCGGAGGATGTTGCCCAGCATTTATGCAGAACAGTTTCTGCACAACACACATATGAAGCTTTCCCCGACACTCGCGACACCTTCGCTCATTCCGGTCCAAAGCTTCTGATGCTCGAGGCGTAGGAGTCAGAGATGAGAGAAAGTATCCAGTCTCGCACAGGAAACCGCGACGTCCTCTTTGACAGTGCCCTTAGTGCCGAGGGCTTTGGGTTTAAGTGGTCGGTTCGAGGATTCGAGATTAAGACGTTGGAGGTTCGGATCTCTAACTTGAAGGCCGGCAACTCGAAACCACCTCGTTATGATAACTTCGGTTTAGGATCCCCGCATATTTTTCCTACCCTTCGGTGAGCTAAACACAGAGCAAAACCTTGCCTAAATCCTGAACTGCCCCGAGCAACTCGGGCTTCGGGTCCGCGAAACACAGAACCCCCAAAACTCTTAACCCGAAGCGCTTGAAGCCTGAACCCTCTAACCCAGCGCCTGTACCCCAAGCTTGTTGATAGAGGGCCCGAAACGGTCACAGCTCATAAGACGCCGCGGTCGCGCTGTGTAGCCATGGCTTCGACGCCGGAGGCCCCTGCATTCAGCCACAGCCACGAGGAGAGAGAGGTTTTGGGTTTGGTTTTGGGTGGTGTTCAGATTTGGGGCGAGGTTTAGGGATGCGGAGATTTCGGGCTTTGATTTGGCTTCAGCTGTTGGCGGACTTGGGCGTGTAGTTTGAATTTCTCAGTTCTAGAAATTCTATACCTTCAGCAAGTATTTGCAAGTCCTCAGCGCAGTGCTCAGGCATCCCAAACCCTCCACAGCCCGGACTCTTTCAAGTCGAGAAATCCTAACATGTCTTGAAACTGAATTCCGAACTCCCGCGATCTTGGTACGGTCATAAAGTCGAAAACCCTGCCTCAGGCGCTCAGGTCCTACACCCGGAACCACCCCGAAATGCTTCAACCCTCGCTTACCCGAAAGGAGAATGCAGAGAGTATCCACCAACCGGGAAAAGCATTAAAGCCGGGCGAGTGCCTCAGTTTGGGGTTTTGTGTTTCGGGACATTGGAGGTTCAGGACGAAAATCGAGGGTGCCAGGCTTTACATGAAGGGTCTGTGGCGTAGCGTCTGGAGAGTGAATGGTGCTTGTCACTTGTCGTCAGGAACAGGAAGAGCAATAGTAGGCGGATGCAGAGCAGCAGCAGTTTTGCTCCGTCAGGACCTATGCAGACCTTGAGAAAGCCGTCAGTATTGCTGAAGTGGTCGTGGGTAGCGTGCTGCTCCAAAACAGCTGCGACCTAGGACCTAAGATTCCTCCTGTAGCTCCGCACTAGCCTCGTTCCCATGCTCACTGTCACACGGCTTGGCAAACTGGGCCGGCTCGAACTCCAAAGAAGTGCGCTGCTATGTGTATCGGACATTGATATCGCAAAAAGACTTTGTTGTTGGGCCTGGGTGTGCATTTCGTGTTTCGTCATGGTCTACACCCAGAGCGATAATCGGACACAACGTTCTTGGCGTTGTGCCTACGGCAAGGTGACCTACTGCTGCTGGCGCCACCTACCCCCAAAAGCCCTACCGCGTCCATGGATAGAACTCAAGAAGAGGTTCGTGCCTGAGGGACTGGTTCATGGGTGTAAGGAGGAAGCTGCAGGAACTTCAGGTAACCTGAATGTCGGGGTGCTACCATGCTTGAGGCTCTGACAGAGCGTGGCTTATGATGGAAGGGGTATGTGTCTTTCTGGATTTCCAGCAGTCGATCTCCTCCAAACGCAATGGACGGCACCGGTCCTGATGCCCGGGAAGGTCCTGCTTCAAACCCGGTTTGAGCTGCATTCAACGGTTTCATTGAAGAAGGGATGGCATCATCTTCTATTGGGAATAGCACAAGATCCGGAATTCAGGCCAATGTCCTTGACTGGGAAGCACCACGACATCCACCGAACCTAAACATTCGCCAGACGAGTGGGGTATCGTCCGATGCAGCTGGTGGGGTTAAGGCCAATTTAAGTTTTATGGCCGACGGCATAGACTTGTCAGGGAGAAAAGTTGCGCTTACACATCCTTGAACGAAGCAGCCGATCAGACTAACGCACCGATTTCAGAGGAGCCTCCGTGTGACATGCCCATTACGGAAGCCATCGTAAGCTCGGCTGGTCGACAAACTCCCCGCAACCATTGGATCTCGATAGAGCTCATGAGGAGACGCCGAAGGACGAGGATCGCCTCGATTCCCTGAGCCCACTGTATCCTTTGTTGAAGCAACAGCACGAGGCCGCTAAAGATTTGGGCCAAAATTGATAGGGGCTGAGTTTTTCAGAACATGGTTAAGGGGTTGCGATCATATGCTATGCTCATGCAAGGAGCAACCTGTAAGGCTGCTGGAATTTGGTGGGCTCGAGTTCAGGGCTTATTGGTGGGGACATCGGGATTTGCTTGTGGTGTTCAGTCGTAGTTATGTTTCGGTTCGAGTTTAGGGTTGGCTTCGAGTTGAGGTCTCGTGAAGGGCACCGCTTATTCTGGGCTCCGAGCCAGCTGCCACACAGAAAGCATCCCAAGATCAGAACTGTTTGGCGGTTGAGGGCGCGCATGCGTGGTGTCAGGACTAAGCCTAACTAAGCCTTAGAGATTCGGGGATTCGAAGCTTGGGAACATGCGTTATCAATGTGCGTGCAGTGCGTGTGGCACAGTGTTTTGTCTTTGCAAAAGTCTGGGGTTCATAGAGGCCAGAGCAAGCCACATGCTTAAAAGGCGTTGGGCTTCTAATGCGTCGGAGGAGGGCATGAGGGTTGCCAACATTCTGAGC